AGAAGCGATTCGTGGTTGCCATCTTCCAATACCTTGCCTTGACCCAGGACGACAATGCGGTCCGCATCACGAATCGTCGACAACCGATGGGCGATGATGATCGTCGTGCGCTGACGAGACGCCAAGAGCTCATCGAGAGACGCTTGCACGACTGCCTCGCTCTCCGTGTCCAACGCACTCGTGGCCTCGTCCAAGAGCAGCACGACGGGGTTCTTGATGATGGCACGGGCGATGGCAATGCGCTGCTTTTGACCACCAGACAACTGCGCGCCGCGGTCGCCCACTAGGGTGTCAAACCCCAGCGGAAATCCCATGATAAAGTCGTACGCATTGGCTTGCTTGGCAGCTTCATGAATTTCTTCGATCGTCGCGCTGGGTTTGCCATGGCGGATGTTGGCGGCAATCGTGTCGGAAAACAAACACGGTTCTTGACCGACGAGGCCAATTTGGTCTCGCAACCACTTGACGTTGAGCGCCTTCAAGTCGTGGCCGTCGAGCGTGACTCGGCCGCTCAACGGGTCGTAGAAGCGCTCCACGAGCGACACGATGGTGCTCTTGCCACTGCCGCTGGACCCCACCAACGCAATTTTCTGGCCTGCTGGAATGTCCAGAGAATATCCGGCGGCCACTTCAACACCTGGACGGGAGGGGTATGCAAATCGGACCGATTCCAGCGTAATGCGCCCTTGGACATTCTCAAAAGTGTCGCCGTTTGCCGACGACGCGTCGATCTTGGACTCGCGGTTGATGAGCTCGAAGATATCGTACGCTGCCGATCGAGCGGTCATGAGGGCTTGCATGCTGGGCGCGGCTTGGCCCAGCGCCATGGACCCCATCACGATGCAGAAGAAAATAGTGACGACACGACCGCCGTCGTAACATCCTGCTGACCCCGGGGCACATTTGTTCTCTCCCAGCTGATCGTTGGTCACCCGCACCGCGCCGTAGTACATTCCAACCGCGTACGTGCACATGGCAATGCAGTACATCATGCCGGTGCCAAATCCGACTGCGAGTCCTTTTCGGACGCCCGACGCCTCGGTGTGTCCGAGTGCCACCACATACTTGTCTGCCATCAGCCGCATTGCGTTGAACATGTGCACAGTCTTGATGTTGCTCAGGCTTTCCTCGGCAATCCCGCCGGCTTCCGCGTACGACGCAACACCGCCTTGCACGGCGTTGGTGATGGCTTTGGACGTGCAGAATGCTGAAATCCCCAACAGCGGGGTGAAGGCAAACAGGACAAGCGACAGTTCCCAGCCGTAGTAAAACGCCAAAATGAGCGACGCAAGTCCCATGGACATGAAGTTGATGCCGTCGCCGATTTTACGACCCATTCCTTCCTGCACGAGCAGTGTCGTATCGACGACCCGCGTAGCGAGCTGCATCGGCTCGTTCACGTCGAACCATCCGATCTCTTGACGCAAGATGGCACACGCGTATGCGTGGCGCATTCGCTTGGCTTGGCGCGACGCCGAGATCGACCAGCACGCGATTTGACCGAACCCGACGATGAGCATCACGGTCGCAAGCACCACGAACTGGTACACGACCTTGTTGATGCTGTCGTTGAACTCGTCCTTGTCAAAGTTGCCGCCACCCGCCGGGTTGAACACGTTTATGATGTCGCCGAAAAAGACGATTTGAATCGGCTGACTCACGCCCATGATGATGGCACCAAATGTGCCGACGCACATGAGCACGATGTCGGTCGCGTCGGCGTACTGGAACAGTTCGCGGAAACCCACCATATTGGTGTGGGTGGGTGTCGAGTCGTCGTTGGGTTCGACAAGGGGAGACTCATCTTCCTTTGGTGATTTGACTGATATGTACGTATCCCCTTGCGATTCAGGTGCCATCTTGACGGCCGCGGCAGCGTATCGAAATGTGGGCCGCTCGCGGTCGCGACCACCATGTTTACCGCACGTGCCACGTTTTGAGCCAAAACGTAAGCAAGACTCGAAACAAACTATTGAAAAATATATATCAATATGGCATCAGAATGAAATATTTTTCAATCGGGAACAGTAATAGCGCGTTGAGATTGGCCCAATATATCCTATTCAAACATGATTGGCTGATTCAGTGTTAACTTCGACTTCAGTGCACCCGTCCAACTGATTCGAAATCGAATGCATCTACACTCACCCTCAACCGATGCCTTTCTGGCAAAGCGAGCGCGCAGAGCACGCAAGCCCCCGTGCTTGCGCCTGCGCTGACTTGGGTATTGCTTGACCGCTGCTTGTTGGTATGAATATGTTTCGTCGAGCATTTTGGTGTCTGGGTCGTTGACAGCGTCGTGGAGCGAGGCGTGACAGAGTGAATTGCCCAAGTACATTGGCAGTTTGAAAATCCTCAAACGACCGAAGCACAACAGCATTAACATGTACTCGTATTACAGTGGCCCCGTCCACAGTCGAGACAGGCATTCTCGAGCCCTGTCAATCTAGTAGCCGAAGAGAAAATCGACGGCCTGCCGATGTGGCAAGACAGCGCCCCGCCCGAGGGTCTTGTTGCGTCTTTCCAGGTTCCGCACCATCAAATCTCCAAATCCCGACTTCATTCGATAGCATTCGTCTTATCGGGACATGCCATCATGGACCCTTTACCATTGTCGAAAACGAGCCCCCTCAACGGAGAGCCATTCATTCGCCTTCAATACCTATTTACCTACCATGCAACAGTATAAACCACGCGCGCGCTCGCTTGTACCCTTTGTACGACGAGACCCCGCCCCAGCTAAACCACCTCGCCATGTCTCGTCCCCACCAGTAACCATGGCATCCTAGCCAACGGTGTTCCGTCTTGTGGCTTGCTTGGCGCGACTGCACATCGCCATTGAAATTCCACCACGACTTCTTCGTGGTTCGTGTGCGTCGAGAATGTTGGTCTTGGTTCACATCCTTGATCCACGATATCTCCACGGCGTCCATACATTGGTCAAGTGTACCGCGATTATTGCCATGGATTGGGGCGTGATCACGACAAGGCAAGGTTCTATACATTAATCAAGTTTAAAGTTCAACATGTCCAGATGTGACAAGCCTCGGTCTCCTCCAACTCTCCTCTTGACAACCTACATGAATCAAGTTGAAAGAGTAAACTCTCCTCTCATTACGCCATGTACACGTGCACTCTCCATGATGACAGCGGCCAATCCAATGCCAGGAAGCACACATCAAGAAGAGAACTTAATTCATATACAAAAAGCAAGTGGATGCGTCGAATTATATTGAAATTGAGCGCGAATTACACACATCCACTGTTGAGCGCCAAGCCAAATGGTTCTAATCACGGCAGCCGCACTGGCGCCAACCTGTCCATTTTCGAATTCTCCATCGCCACATCACGATGGTGTTGTCGAAGAAGGACGACCATGCCGATGGCAATATGTTCGTGACGGTTGAGACCCCCCTTGCGAACCGTGTGGACGAGGCGACGACTGCAAGCGCCGGTTCGACCAACGACGCGAAAACGGGCAAAATGGCGACCTTCTCCCAGCTCTTCCAGTTTGCGGACGGGACCGATTATGCGCTCATGGCTGTGGGTACACTTGGTGCAATGATCACGGGTGCCGGTCAGCCGATTCAAATCACGTTCTTCGGAGACATTATCAATGCATTCAATCCCCCAGACCCGTCTAGAAAAGAGATCCCCGGCGCGTTTCAATCCGACATCAACAAGGTCGTATACCAGTTTCTCGTCATCGCGTCGATCATTCTGGTCTGTGGGTTCGTCCAAATTGCATGCTGGTCCATTTCGGCGTCGCGCCAAGCGAAGAAGCTCCGTCATGCTTATGCTTCTGCGATTTTGCGTCAAGAAATTGGATGGTTTGACGTGAACGAACCGATGCAATTGGCCACGCGAGTCGCAGATACTACTCTGCTGGTGCAAGAAGGCATGGGCCGTAAAGTCGGCGATGGGATCAACTTTTTGTCCATGGGTATCACATCTTTGGTGGTTGCGTTCTACTACGGCTGGGAACTATCACTCGTGCTTTTTGCTTTCACTCCGCTTATTGGGGTGAGTGCTTATTGCATGACGAAAGCCATCACTGCTGCCGTACAAGGTGGTGTTGAAGCGTATGCAGAAGCTGGTGGTATTGCGGAAGAAAGCCTGAGCAACATCAAGACTGTGCACATGTTTAACTCAATGTCCGCTATGGCTGACAAATACGTCGCCGCCCTTTTACGAACCGAACAAGCGGGTGTGAAGAAGGGTTTCGCCGTTGGTTTTGGCACTGGTATGATGTACTTCGTCATGCTTTGTACCTACGCCGTCGGTATGTACTATGGCGCTGTCCGCATCACAAACGACCAACTTGGGCCAGAGAAATGCGTTGGAAGTGGCTGCTACGATGGTGGTCGTGTGATCATTGTATTTTTCTCGATTGTCATGGGCTCTATGGCATTGGGTCAGGCCGGCCCGAGTATGCAAGCTGTGATGACCGCCCGATCTGCAGGGTACGAAGTGTTTGACCTCATCAACCGCGAATCCAAGATCGACGCCTCATCCACAGAAGGAAAAACCATTGATGACGTTCAAGGGCGCATTACTCTGGAGTCCATCCGATTTGCATACCCCTCTCGACCAGAGGTCGAAGTGGCCGCGGGGTATTCTTTAGACATTCCGGCTGGTCAGAAGATTGCGTTGGTGGGTTCCAGTGGAAGTGGCAAAAGTACGATTGTGTCTCTTTTGGAGAGATTCTACGATCCATTGGAAGGTCGTGTCACCCTGGATGGTCATGACTTGAAATCACTCAACATCAAGTGGTTGCGCGATCAGATCGGGTTGGTTGGCCAAGAACCGTGTTTGTTTTCCGACACGATTGCGGCTAACATTCGTCATGGCAAGCCTGGTGCCACCATTGAAGAAATTCACGAAGCGGCCAAGCAAGCTAATGCGTACGACTTTATCATGGGATTTCCTCTTGGATTTGATACCGCCGTGGGTGACCGAGGCGCGCAGTTGTCTGGTGGTCAAAAGCAGCGCATTGCCATTGCACGTGCTATTATTAAGAACCCCGCCGTACTGCTCTTGGACGAAGCCACAAGTGCGTTAGACACGGAAAGTGAAGCTGTGGTACAAGCATCGTTGGACCAATTACTAGCGTCTCGCCAGCGCACAACCATTATCATTGCACATCGGTTGTCGACGATTCGTGATGCTGACCGTATCGTCGTGTTGAGCCACGGTAAGGTATTGGAAGACGGCAACCACGAATCTTTGCTCCAAATTGAAAACGGACACTACAAAGCGTTGGTGGAAGCTCAAATGCGTGGCTCCCTCAGTGAAGAGGAAGAAGATGTTCCTGAACAAGTCAAGATTCTTCGCAAAGCATCGACTTCGGTGGCCGTGGTTGGTAATGTGACTGAAGAAACCAGCAGTGAGGCATCCGAAGAAGTTGGTGCGACCGATGTACCCATTTCTCGCGTGTGGGCTTTGAGTGTCCCTGAGACTCGCCAATTGATCTTTGGAAGTTTGGGTGCCCTAGTCCATGGGGCTCTGTACCCTGTGTGGGGTGTCTTGCTCACGAAGTGCACTGTTGTGTTCTTCTTGACAAGTCTTGGTTCAGACGCCATGCGGAATGAAGCCCTCAAGTGGTCAATGGGATTCATTGCTTTGGGCGTTTCCATTTTGATCGCATTGACTGTCCAAAACCATCAGTTTTCGATTGTCTGCGAGCGTTTGACGTCGCGTATCCGTGGTATGGCATTCCAAGCGATGCTCCGTCAAGACATTGGATGGTTTGATGATCCCAAGCATTCGTCTGGGGCGTTGACCACACGCTTGGCAACGGATTCGGCAGCAATTCGTTCCATGACGGCGGAAACCCTGAACGCGATTCTGATCAATGCTGCTACGCTGAGTGTCGCGTTCGGCATTGCGTTCTACAACTCGTGGCGTATGACCTTGCTTTTTCTGGGTGTGTTGCCCATCATGGCTGCTGCTCAAACATTGCAAATGCAAATGATGACGTCTCAAACTGGCAAGAGCATCAATGAGGGCGACATCAAAGCTGGTGCCATGCTGAGCGAAGCTATTAACGCCATCCGTACTGTGGCATCGTTCAACTTGGAAAGCTCGACCAACGCAGCATATTTGGGGAACTTGCAAGTCAGTGCCGCTACAGACCGTAAAGCTGGCATCTTCGGCGGTATTGCGTTCTCTGTGTCGCAATCGTCAATGATCTATGCCTTGTCTGCCGTATTCTACTACGGTGGCTGGCTCATGACGCACAAATTGCTGGAGTTTGAGAACTTATTCATGGTTCTCAACTGCATTCTCTTTTGCTCGTTTGGTGTGGGTATGGCTGCCCAAGGCATGGGCGACGTTGGCAAGGCAAAGCATGCTGTGAAAAGTATCTTTGCCATCATCGACCGCCAGCCTCCCATCGACTGCGCGTCCAACCAAGGTCTGCAACTCGAACATGTCCATGGGGATTTGGAACTCCGGGGTCTGGAATTCTC